CTCGTGTCCCCTCCCCGTGGCCCCCCTAATCCAAGTGCAAATTTCTCAGATCAGGGTAGAGCCCTACTGGGGTCCTGGGCTCCTCCTCCGGGGAGGAGCTGAGGGAACAGCTGCTACTGCACGGCAATCTTTATTCTTTTCCCTGGTTATCATTTTTCCAGATTTTATACAACTCACTTGTGGGTTTCCCATCAATTTGCTCTAGGGGGACTCCTGTCTTCCTCAGCTCTATCCAGAGCTGTCGGCAGGAAAGGTTCTTTGGATTCGCTGACATTCCCTTCACTACCGCCACTTGTTTCAGTTTTGGGTGCTCCCCCGTCAAGGTCTGCAGCCCTTTTATAATTTCTTTTATGAGACGGTCCGTCTAGGCATCATAGCATTGCAACAAAAGACTCTGCAAGGGACCACATCCCTTACGAAGGGTGCTCTACCAGGCTGTCCCGGTGACTGTAACCTGCAGGGGGTCCGCGGTCAAATCCCCTCCCAAAGCTGCCTCGATGAACGCATCTCTACTTAGCTGTTGTACTGCCCCCGGCCAATACACCTATTTAGGCTCTCTAGCATGCCGGTCCTTGGTCACCATTCATGTTTTCAAGGTCCCCAGTGCAAACTCCATTAATTGGAAAGCATAATACTCTGACATCTTTGGATCTATCTGCTGGGTGGCCTGGGCTAACTTATACCACTCCCCTGAAAAGATTTTTGTCATTACAGCTATTGCCTCTTGGGGAGTGAAATACTTATCTACTCCTTGGGCTACTATTCAACTAGCTCACATGGCCCAGGTTTCTTTCAGGTCCTTCGCCCAGCCTGCCAGCTCAACTTGGAAATCTGCTGGTTTCCAGGGGGTCATCTCCCATTCATGTAGGACCAGCTCTTCATTTTGATTTCACTGCAACCTAGGGTTCATAACTGCACTTACCTCTAATTTCATGGAGGGAAGCTTCCCTTCCAGAGGGCTGTCTCCTCCTCCACTTCCGGGATGGGCAGGGCAGGTTGCTCTCCCTCATCACCAATTAGATCGGTCACTGCCACCTCTTGTTCCCCCCCTGACTCCGGAATCAGATCCTCTGGGGGCAGTAAAGTCCCCACCATTTCCCACAACAAAGAAATGGCACCCTCTAGTAACACAGTTTTCCCTGGTTTCCTGCCTGTCTGCCACTAGGCAAAAACTCCCTTCATGGCAGCGAGGGACCTGAGGTCTCTCACCCCAGAGGACACCCATGGATGCACTCTCCTACTAAGTTAAAAAAAGACTCATGATTTTTCCCTAGTGCGTAAATGCGTCCACCGCTCCCCGGATGCAGCTGGCCAGGCTGCCCTCGAGGAGGGGTCCCTATGATCTTTAATATGCCCACATTCTCCACCAATTGTTAGGGCTCCTTCCCTTCTCAAGGGGAAGGTGAGTAACCCACAAGTCACACACCAAGGTTAAAACAACAAGTATAACTTTATTGCAGAAAACATCACACGCCAAGTCAATACTAAAAGCTTACAAGCCACTAGTGCATTGGACTGGAGGAAAGGCACTCCCCACCCTGTTCTAAGTTATTACCTGATGGGTCTTGGGAACCTCACCCTGCATCCAGGGTGGTGAGACTACTTCCTTTATCGGTCCTCAGCCTTGTCCTCCCTGAAGCAGTTCTGCCCGGGGCCTAGTTCTTCTGACTTTTATACCTTCCCTCTTGTTAACTATCTCTTCCAGGAGTTTACCAATGGAAGTGACTTTTAGCCTTAGTGCCTTTCTGGGATTAGAGCCAAGCTATTATCTCATTTTGCAAAGCTGTCATTTCTAAGTAAAAAGCTGTTATCTTTAAGTTCCTCTTGGGCCAGGACTTTCCAGGGCCTTTTGGTTGGGCAAGGGCAGTTCCCCTGAATATGAGAATGAGAATTGTCAGCGTATGCTGACAATGTACTTGTCGCAGTCAAGGACCCGGTGTGACCTGGTGTGGGTGGAAGCCTGCCAGGCATTGTACTTGGCAGCCTCCTCTGCCCAGATCAACTGGGTCAAGAGTTTTGGCCTGACCGTGGGTGGCAGGTGGGCTCAGTCCCCGCCATGCTCCATGGAATCCAGTAGTGCTTGGGCTTGCTGCTCTACCTGGGGATCTACCTGTCCCCCATGAGCCCCTTTTTGCTGAAGAACTGGCACCAGCCAGAGGCAAGGATGGTGGAGTGGCTCCAGGCATGGGCGGGACTGCTGTGGTGGCTCTTCCTGTGTGGGAGGGTACTGGTGTGGAACCAGCTGGTGCTGTCCATGCTCTGGCACTGCTTCCACACCCTGTTGGTACCCCCTGAAGTCATGGCCAGGCTCCAGAGATAGGCACTGGAGCTTTTCTGGACAGGACAGCTCTGGGTCGCTGAAGAGGTCCTGAGCCTCCCCTTGCAAGAGGGAAGCCAGGGCCTGGTTTGCCTGTGCAGCCAGGTCCTTACATTCTGCTTTCAGGCCCTGCAGCAACTGCTATACAGTGTTGGTAGCCACGTGGCATGGGTCCACCTGGGGCGTGCCTTTCTTTGCCACTTCAAGGGTTCTGGTGTGACTGGCAGCTCCTTGGCTTGTGGGGCTTCTCTCTGCAGGAACTGCGAGGGCTGCCAGAGTTTTATCAGGACCTCCTCTGGGTCTGGAGGCTGGTCTCTGTCTCTAGGTCCCCTACAATACTCATCCAGGGTACCTACCTGCTTGTTGAGCCCTTCTTCTGGAACCCCCAGCTAGAAGTGCTGACAGTGCAGGCACCCCAGTTGCAATAGAGGCTGGCCATGGGTGTTGTTTACCCATATCAGAGACCTCCTGGACTATGATAGGCAAGGGTGGAGCCCACTGCACTGGCCTGATGCATGGGTTTACCCACAATGCATGCGACCTGAGCCAGCTGGAGGATACCAAACAGGTCTGCTTCTCCACCAGCTCTACACATTCATGAACCACACAATCCACCATGATACCTTCGCGTCCCTCCCAGACACCAAGTGCAGGGACCTGCTCCGTGAGGGTGTAGTTGGGCACCCCAGTGGCTGAGTCTGTACTCCACCCTCATCCCACAAGCCACTGGGGACCTCATCTGGTGGCTTCTCCATTGAGCCATTGCCATGGGTGTGTATGTGGTGAGCTTTACCAATACCCCGGTCTCCTGCCCCTTCTGCAGGCAGAGGGAGACCCTGGTGTACATGATACTCGAGTGCACCAGGCTGTAGCCTCTCCACCTCCACCTCTGGAGCCTCCTCCTGAGGTGATGGATGAACTTTACCCCCCAGCTTTTATTTTTGGACACCTCATCTATGGCCCTACCGAATCCTGGGACCTCCTGGTCAACCTCCTCCTGGCCCTGGCCAAAAGGGCCTTGTACATGACCAGGAAGGAGACTTTGGCCAGGAAGGTGCCTGGGGACTGCAGGGCCTCTTTCTTCTCACTGGTCCACACACTGGGTGGCGTCCGCCAGTTCCTTGGATGCCTTTGAGGACTGGTGGGGGCTGGGCCAGGCCAGGTCCATTCAGCATGTACAGAGCCCACATCAGGCAGCACCATGCTGTTGTGGGCTGTGCCTGCAGCTTAGCCATGGCTGCACTGTCTGCTGCCCCTGGCACCAAGTGGGGGGCAGGCATGTGGCAGCTTCCACCCAAGCCCCTCCACAAACCCACCCACAGACCCACCCACCCACATCCCCCCCACGTCCTCTGCCATTCCCCACATGTGCCCTACATCCAACCCCGCCATTCCTCACACCCACCACACCCACCCACAAAAATAAACCCCCCATGTCCCTGACTTACCTGGGACAGTGCCCAGGTCCCAGTTATGCCAAACTCTTGCCCCACTCTTCTGCTTGCCCCAGTATGCTAAGGGTGCATGCCTCATGTGCTGGGGAAGCAGCAGCACCATAGAGATGCTTTGACCAGAAACAAGAGCGTCCCTCTAGAGGACCGGCTTCCAAGTTACCTCAGGTCACAGTCCAGGACCGTTCCTTGTCTTACTTTTTCCCCCCTGTGTTTTTTGTTTGTTTGTTTGTTTGTTTTTTGATACCTGGATTTCCAGGCATCAGATTTTGAGCCCATGCTGCAAACATGCAGTGCAGGAACACTTTTTTGTTCACAGCGTGCCTCTTGTGGTAACTCAAACTGGTTTGAGATCATAGAATCTTAGAAGTAGGGTCGGAAGGGACCTTGTAGATCTTCAAGTCCGACCCCCTGCCTGGGCAGGAGGAAAAGTGGGCTTAAATGACCCCAGCCAGGTAGGCATCAAGCCTCTTCTTAAAGACCTCCAGGGTAGAAGCCAGCACCACTTCCCTTGGAACTTGGTTCCAGAGATGCTGCAAGAGGCACGTGCGTGCTTGTCTGGATTGCCCAGGTCAGAATGTGCCATGGTACCTTTGTTAAGAATCACTGGTGTGGACAAATCCAAACTTAGAACTGGGATTTTTGTACTGACATCCTCCAGCACTGCTCCTACAGTTGGTTAATCATGCATTTCCTCATGTACTCTTTAGCCCCAGTATGGCAACAATGCATGCATTATAATGCATACATGAGGGAAGCAGCCAGCCTGATATGTATGCTTTCATAAAATCTGGAGCAGATAATACAGCAATGATTTTCAACCAGGGTGCTACAGCACCCTAGGGTACCGTGAGATCCTTTCAAGGGTGCCATGGGATGCCACACAATGTTAGCACTACTAAGTTTGCAAACATCATTCGCAAGATAAACCCAGAGGTTTCAGTTAGAAATCCATGGTTGTGGTCTTTCTACGTTCTTTGGAATAGAACCACTATTCTATTACTTTAGTGTAGTCTAAAAGAAGTGAAAACTAAGAGCTATCATTTTCTGAGGGGTACCTCAACTCCAAAAAGATTGAGAAACACTGACTTAAAGCATTAATAATCCTCATCATGACTTTAACCTGCATTTGATACGGAGTCCACCAATCCAGTGACCATTAGGCCAAGCTCCATAGGGATAGCAAACATATTGGATCACAAGGTGTGTATGACAATAGGTAGTTTCACAACATGCTTCTGGAACAGGTAAGTGTTAACATTTATAATCAATGTAGGAATGACATTCTGGTTAACACCTGGAACTGGATTGTTAAAAAAAGTATTAAGGCACATGTATGTAACAGAAGTAGTAGTGATGTGCATTCAGATACCTGACCACTCTTAATCACATGCACATAAATCTTACTAAGATTAGTTCCTACTAAGAGAAGGAACCACCTGCCCAGGAGCCTGTGCATCTAGCTAATTGTCATATGCAAGTCTATCCTTACGCCAGGCTATACCATGCAATCACTCCTCTCCTGTCACAAAAGGGCTGCAACATGGCTTCCCTGGAAATTTTTGAGGGCTACAGTGTTATAACCAAGCATCCTAGTTTTCTCTGTTTAATAATCACAAATTCTCTGATTAAAAAATTTGCAAAATCTCTGATATAAAAACCTGAAATATGCGATTAAAATGAAACGTATATATATATAATGTATGTACACACACACACACACACACACACACACACACACACACATATATATATATATATATAGAGAGAGAGAGGTATCAATTGAACACAATATTTTATTGATATATTTACAATTTTAGAGGAATTTGGAAACCTACCACTGTCTCAATCACTATAATAAAATACATTCTAAATACCTATAAACTTTGGTATTTAATTTTGGGTTTTTTATCATGGAAAATCAGAGCTCTACCCACAGCACCCTGCCCCCCAAGCCATGCTGGAAGGGACCGCAGCTGCCAGGGCTATGGGGCCAGGGGCCTGGGTCTGCAGCCCCATGCTCCCTGCAGCAGTGCCTGAGCCCTGGCTGCTACCAGCAGGAGACATTGGCTGATGTGGCAGAGCAGTGTGGAGCCTGGCTACCCCTCCCCTATGGGCATCACAACTGGAGTGGAGCCCATGGAGGGGGTGGGCTACTCGCTGTGGTTTTCTGGCTCCCTGCCCTGCTGTCATCCCCCTGGGGCCTCGAAGCCCAGTGGGCAGGACCTGGCACAGCAGGGCAGAGAGGGGCTGGGTGGGGAAGTTTCTTGCTGCTGTGAGCCTTGCACTGCCCTGATGAATCTCCCACTGAGAGAACAGTCCTACCCCCACTGCTACCGGGAGGGAAAAGGGCACTTTGCCAGTGTGGCATGGGGAAAGGAAAGGAGCTTCCCTGCCTTGCCCCACTCTGCCCTGCCATGCCAGGTCCTGACCACTGAGCCACAGAGGCACCAGAGGAAGGGGAGCAGGGAAGGGAGCCTGACCCTCTCCCACCCTGGACACAAATCTGGAAGGCACATGCCCTTGCAAGACCCCCAACCCTAGCCCTGCCCAACTCAATCCCTTCCTCCCTATGGGGGACTCAGATCTCCCCACCCCCCACCAGACTCACCTGCAGGGAGCTGCTTTCTTGGCTGCCTAGTAGCTATGTGCATGTGTGTGTGTGCACATACACATAGCTCCCGCTGCCTGACAACCCTCCTCCCGCTTCCCCTAGGCCGTTGAAGGCTGGAACTCTGCCAACTCTTTGCAAAAGTGGAAAATTAACATTTTTTTTCCATTAAAATGAGAAATCCTTGTTTTTCTCAGTTAAAAGGGAAAATCTGCATTTTTTTCCATTTTTCTGTGGGAAATGGAAAACCCGGATCCCTGGTGGTGACCAAATTATGTCCTTTCTTATATTATTAAAGGTGTTTTGCTGTGTGGTTATGAGCATTCTTATCAGGGATGACATAATGCCTTGAATGTCTATGAATAAATTCTATACTAAAGCATTGTTGTTCAGTTGCAGAGAAAATGCATAGCTATGAATTAAGTTCATTTATATACTTTTCATAATGGAAGAAACTAAAACAAACATTTAAAAACTAACTGAAGCAGCTTCATAAAATTATGTTCAGGTATAATGTGTTGCCTTTCATATTCCTGAATCATTAAAGATGTATTTTAATAATCAGTTACTATGTATTTTAATCATCAGTTATCATCAGTACATTAACAATCAAAGCTAGTTAGTAGAGGACTACAACGCAACTCAGCTCAAGAAGACTTTTGAGTATTAAACTGTTCATAGAATCATAGAAAATTAGGGTTGGAAGGGATCTCAGGAGGTCATCTAGTCTAGCCCCCTGCTCATAGCAGGACCAGCCCCAACTAGATCATCCCAGCCAAAGCTTTGTCTAGCCAGGCCTTAAAAACCTCCAAGGATGGAGCTTCCACCACCTCTCTGGGTAACCTGTTCCAGAGTTTTACTACCCTCCTAGGGAGAATATTCTTCCTAATATCTAACCTAAACTTCCCTTGCTGCAACTTGAGACCAGTGTTCCTTGTTCTATCATATAACACCACTGAGAACAGTCTAGCTCCATTCTCTTTTGAACCCCGCTTCCGTTAAAGGTTGCTATTAAATCCCCTCTGTCTTCTCTTCTCCAGACTAAACAAGCCCAGTTCCCTCAGCCTCTCCTCATAAGTTATGTTCCCCCAGTCCCCTCACCACTTTTGTTGCCCTCCACTGGACTCTCTCCAATTTATCCACCTCCTTTCTGTAGTGGGGCCCCCAAAACTGAACACAGTACTCCACATGTATCCTCACCAGTATTGAATAGAGGGGAATAATCACTTCCCTGGATCTATTGGCAACACACCTAATGCTGCCCCATATGCTATTAGCCATTTTTTTGGCAACAAGGGCACACTGCTGGCTCATATTCAGCATTATTCTGACACTGTAACCCCTAGGTCCTTTTCTGTAGAACTGTTGCCCAGCCAGTCAGCCCCCAGCCTGTACTGGTGCATGGGACTATTCTGTCCTAAATATAGGACTTTGAACTTGTTGAATCTCATGAGATTTCTTTTGGCCCAATCCTCCAATTTGTCTAGGTCACTCTGAATCCTAGCCCTACTCTCCAGCATATCTATGACTCCACCCAGCTTGGCTACTGTTGCATGGCATCTCACATGTAAGAGTTTTCCTTGGAAACCAACAGCTTTGTGAGTTATTTGCATCCTTCATAATTAAAAAACTGACTCCAGAAATGTCTTCTACTTAATCTGCTCTTAACGGATTTTCTGAAAGTTATATTTTTATTGTTATTTTTATTGTGCAAATTATATACAGTACAAAGGAGAAATTGTCTACATTAAGTTTTCAGCATACTGTTTCCATACTGTTCTCTGTATATTTTCTCTGTTTTCCTGGTCGTGGAACCCTGGCTTTTTTTATTCTTCTTGGTTACCTAGTGAAATCATCAGAGCTTTGGAAGATTTTGCACATTGTTCTGTACAATAATGAGGATCACTGAATTACTGTTAGAGCTCAAAGCTATATTTGTGTTCCTCAAGGCCTGGGAGTTAAAAATCTCTGTGTAGTAAACATAGCGAGGCTATGTTAGTTCAAGACATGACTATAGCTTTCATAATTATTTTCAGTATGGTGGCAACTCTTGCTAGTTCCTTAATTTTGCTTCATATATATTCATATTCAACTATGTATTTTTGGGGCAAATACATATGATCATCTAGGTGTTGATGATTATTTAGCAAAAAAACATACCTTAGGAAAGTTGAAACCACTTCAACTTATTTCTGTTTAACTTGGTTCTGTTTTCTATTCATTCCTGGTCTCATCATGGAATAAACGTGAGACATGAGATTAACTTCTAGATTCTTTTTTTTTTTTTAAACCAGACAGCTGCTCCATATGAATTACTAAAACAGCCCACAGCACAGCCAGGCCCTTAAGCAGTTTCAGTATCTGCTTATATCCTAAATTTTTTTCTTTTTTCTTTCCTTATAACAGACAGTTTCTAAGACCATCTGTTTGCATAATTCAGCAAGGTGAAACTGAATTTTTTTTCACCGATCATTTTCAAAGCTTCCAAAATGTTGAGAGTTACTGTGTAATTTAACTGTTTACATTGTTTGTATCTCTTTAATTATGCTAAGTATTTCACAGCTATCTACATATTAGTTATTTTAATATACTGCATCATTGACTTTACACTCCTGATTTAAAGATGAGGCATACAAATAGTTTCTTCAATCCCAGTAGCACTGCACAGTAGATGTAAATAGTTTGGAAACTTAAAAATGAACATATTCTTTCTTTTCTCATTGTCTGATGTGCAGTTTGTGCTTCTAATAAAAAATATTTCTAAATAGAGCTTCCAACAAGTACATTTTATATATAGGCCACATGAAAGTGAAACTAAAACTGATATAACAATATGTTGAAATGAAAATGTTACTTATCTACCAATACAGTTTAACTGTTGCTTAAGTTTTATATGTCATCTGTTCATACTTAGTATTTTGTTTCCACTGTAGGATCTTGCTATCTTGCAAAATGCAGAAGTAAAGATTGCTTTGAACTTGTCATGTATAGCACGGAGGCACTCTGATCAGTGGTGCAACTAACAAGTTTTGTGCCCTGGGCAAAATCTTGCCAAAGAGATGGTGGTGGGTGCTGAATCTCAGAGAGCAGAGTTGGGGAGTGGTCCTGTTCCTGGGGCTCGAAGACTCCAGCTGCTGCTGCCACACAGCTGATTGCTCTCCCTTGGCTGCTGTTGCAGTGTCACAGTGTTGTGGTGTTTCAATGCTTGGCTCCTGCTGTTGATGTGCAAGGCTGCCGCTGCCCTAGCAAAATGTTCCTGGGGGCCTGCCATTCCAGGGTCATGCCTAGAGCTGGTGCCTCACTCACCCACTCCTTGTTAAGCTACTAGGTCAGTGCAAATCTGGTTGTAGCACAGGGTCCCACAACCCTGATGTCACTGGGCTTGGATAACCATTGCAGAATCAGAGAGGCTTTTCATCATGTTGAACAATAAGGAATTAATCCTGCAAAATATATGGCTGCCTTAACTTTACCACTATGAGTATTCCCACTGATTTCAAGTAATTTAGTAAGAATTTGCAAGATCCAGGACTACAATAGTGCCATACAGCATTCTCCCTATATGCTCACCAAAATAATCACTGACAATGGAAGTGATTCCCACCTAAGAACCCAATAACTTAACTGCAGCAGGAA